CCCCACCCTCCTCACACCCCCAACCTCCCACCCTCCTCTTCCCCCGCGCCCCTCATCACACCCCGCTGCCACCCAACCGCATACATTCATGTGGCCACATGCTAGTGCATGCAAGTACACATGCACACTTGTTTATTTTGTCTCCTCATTTCAAGAGAGTACTTACGTCTTTTTTTTTTGTTATCATTCCACTTTTCAGATCGTTGGCCCAGCCCTCTTTTTAAAAAGGGGGCAGCCCCTAACCTTATTGTTTATATGTGATGCGATCAGTATTTGAGATCATGACCTTTTTTCATGTGTCTACAGTTCAGCCATATGTCTGTATCATTCGGCCGCATTGGCCTCGACTTGTGCAGGAACGGTCTTCTGTTTCTATGCATTGCATTTCCTCATGTGTGTTGTGCAAGGATCAGTGTCGAAGTCTCGTGACTGAAAGAGTCTGTTCAGTACCTGAATGGACAACTCCATTCGAAGTAGGGGTTTGAGTCCGTTTGACCCAGGGTTTGATTGGGCTTTATGTTCATTTCGTTTTTGAAACGAACTTTCATTACTTATTTGGAAAGGAGGGGCCGGCCACCCCACATAAAGGCCGGAACCAGGAGCATTACCCAGTGTTATGCTTTTAACAGGACCCAAACGGGACCCAGGGAAGGAGGCAACAACCATAAACCCCTACTTTCATTTTCCTACTCTTAAACCACCAGTACATCCGGAAAAGCAGATTGAGCCTCTCCTAAAAAATTCGGAGGCCATGGACCGTCGATAAAATGAATCAGCGGTTTGTGGCCTCCTATTTTTTAGGAGAGGCTCAATCTGCTTTTTCTCATGTACTGGTGTTTTAAACCTTAAACGGATAAACCTTATCTATCTTACTTTTTACTTTTTTTTTTTTTTTTTTTTAATGTGGCCCAATGGACCACTAGGATCAGGATCAGATATTAAACTGATCAGAACAGATACATTTCACAGTTTTCACTTTATCTATTTTTAGCCAAAAGGCCGAGAATGGTATTCTACTATTCCGAGTATTCTCTATTCTTCCGTTCGTATGGGGGGTTAAGTTGCCGTTCAACCCATGGTTTGGTTGGGGGGCTTATGCTCTTTTCTGTTTTGTACCTGAATGGGTAATTCCATTCATATGGGGGGTTGACAAGGAGGTGCACAATGTGGATAGGTGTCTGTGCCTGTTTTTGTATGGTTGGAGTTTTGGTTGTTTGCTTGTTTGGTGTTGTGGTGGTCCCAGCTCCTCATGGGCACACTCAGAGAGGGAAGACGTGGGTAGTAGAAGTCGAGAGAGAGAGAGAGAGAGAGAGAGAGAGAGAGAGAGAGAGAGAGAGAGAGAGAGAGAGAGAGAGAGAGAGAGAGAGAGAGAGAGAGA